GATCCGACGCCACTGTAGAATACCCGAGCCCTAATAGGTAAAAGACCGGTACAACAGAACAGGCTTTATTGACCAATCAGAAGCCAGAGCCTCACGTCAGGCGCCTTCCATCCGAGTCCCCTCGCTGGCCACGCCGCTCATTATATACTGCATCTCATCCATGTCCTTCTCTGGTTGGCTGCCTTCCTTTCCCGCATGCCATTGGATCGCAGAGACACAGGATTGGCTGCGGCCAGGTGGTCCAATATGTCTGCGCCCTAATCCGACGCCACACCACACCACAAGGCTCTTCTTTTTATACTTATCAAAGAGGTACTCATGTGACGTTAATTATTGTTTAACCACTACCTTACCTTACACAATTATGCAATGCTCTGAAAGTGCGGCAATTAGGTCGCATACTCTGCTTCATTTTCGACTCTGAACATTAGTTTAACTGTCGTGTGCTTCCTCTAATAACTTTGTGATACTAATTGGACTATTTTACTTACTAGGGTGTTAACCATGCCCTCTCTTCGCACAAGGCGTTGCGTTTATAAGTCACCATACTTCGATCAAACGTCAGACGTAGATAACGATGTTAAGGTTGGTATGGCTTCCGGAGTCACCAGCAGCAGCGACGAATTTATGGTAACCCCCAAGGTTACTCGCTCCTGCCGTCGCAAATCCAAGACACGGAGAAGTAACGCAAATTGCAAAGGAAAAAGTCGCAAAAATCAGTCAAATGCTTTGGAGTCTAGCGCCTCGGACACCACGACAAGTTGTAAAAAAGCCAGGACAGCCTCTCAGTCGAGAGCAAAAACAGAGAACGCGAAGGTAGTTTCAGTTGTCCCACAATTACAGAGTGACACCGAGTCCAGTGACGCGGACGGTTGGGAGGATGTGACTAATCACACTCCGATGAAACAGCCCGAGGCACTGCCTTCAACCTGCAATGAAATAGAGTTCATGAGTCAGTTATTAGAAAAACCTGATGAGAAAGTGGCTGTTAAGAAGGAGGAAAAACCTGATTTGGTGGTTTCGGTAAACACTGCCCCCAATCAGAAGCCATCTCGTGACCCCAAAACCCTGGCTGCTCTTGCGCTTGCCAAACAATTGAGAGAACATCAGTATGCGGTCCACACGCTTTATGTAATTGGATTTCTCACTTACGGTCGTTTCGCTAACAAAGCTTGTGACGATCCGACCATACGCGCGTTGGCGTATTCCCTCATTGATCCTCCGAAAGTGTGGGACCCAACAACTCTTCGTTCAATTGTTTCAACGTTTGCCTGCCTTGTTCGTGGTAGTGTGAAAATCAAGAACCCGAATATCACAGAAGCGGTCCAGGCTCGGCTTGAAATAGGCCGAACGTCAGTGGACGACTGTACTTTTCTATTAGTTGCTGCCTTGCGGGCGTGTGGACTAGACGCCCGCCTTGTTTTAGCGTTTGTCCCACCACCACTGAGACGTGACACGAAGGCCTTGTGTGTAAAAAGACTCAAACGTCTGAATCCACCGAAGAAAAACACTAACATAATTTCCACTTCTGAAAGCGAAGAAGGTTGTGGTAGTCATGAAGGCCCAGATTATCACCTCTTTGGTCAGGTCTACTTGCCTTCGGCTAAAGCCTGGTCCAGCGTTGACCTGACTTTGCCCGTTGGAAGAGCGACCGTGGAATCCTTCCAGTTTCCACAATATCAATACGTTGTGGGCTTCCATTCCACTACTTCGAGCTACGTCGGGCGTTCTCCCATCGACCTAGCCCCTCGCTACGATCCAGCGTGGATGTCTGAATCTCGGAGCAAACGCATACCCGATTCCGTTTGGAATAAACTGTTGGCTTCGATGCGAAACTACTGTGACGGTGATGTAGCTGCTCTTCGTGCTGAGGACACCACTCGCGAGGAAGAGATGAGGGATGCCGCCGACTTGCGCGTTATTTTTGACTACTTGCAAACGCTGCCCCTCCCGAAACGGATCCAGGACTTCAAGGGCCATCCACTGTATGCTCTGAGACGACATCTGCTCAAATTTGAGGTAATTCATCCCCCGGATGCTCCGGTGATCGGGTTCCTGAATGTTGGCGGGAAAACGGAAGCGACTGAACCAATATTTCCTCGTGATTGCGTTCACGTCTGCCATACTAGAGAGTCCTGGCTAAAGGAAGCAAAGGTTTGTCTTGGCTAGTGTTTTGTGCCCTGTTAAATATCTTCCCAATTTTAAGTTATCGTGTACTGTGAATTTGGGCACTCATCGTTAGAGTTATATTTGTAAGATGCTATGTAAGGGTACATCTCAATGTTTGGACCAATATAAACTCATGAACTAGATGCATATTCAGTAAGCTCATTGTTTGTCAAAGTTGGAGAATTCCGTTACTCTCTAGCTCACCACCTACCGTTATCAACTATTGTGTATTGTAGACAGTGAAGTTAGGCGAAAAGCCTGCGAAGGTAGTGAAAGCCATGATGTCGATGAAACGCAAACTCCTGATGGACGACAACGGGCCACCGCCCACCGTCGATTTGTATGGACCGTGGCAGGTAGAGGATTACGTGCCGCCCGTTGCCGAAAATGGTCTTGTTCCCCGAAACGAGCATGGCAACGTTGAACTCTTCAAGCCCTGTATGCTGCCCGTCGGATGCACGCATATTCGTCTGCAGGGTAAGTTGATCTTGGCCAGCCAATACGTATTCCTTTTTTTCCAGACTTCTACCATGACTGGTTTGACTGAATGCCGTACCATTGTAAATTGGCCTTAGGTGTGTTTGTATATGCATAACACATATGGCGAGTCCCATTCTGTCGAGCCTAGACTGACTACCGTCAGCCAGTAGTTATTTGCCATAAATACGCACTGTGAAGTACTTACTTTGTAATCCGTTGTTCTTGAAGAAAACTTGTTTTGCCTTGTGATCGAATTCGTCGGCCCGTGTAGGGTAACTCGTCGTTCAAAATGCGCCTTTAAAGCGATGTAAATCTTGCAAACTCGAGGCTGGGATTGGCAAAGCAGAACGCTGGTATGACCACTACAACTCTTTTACCAGCTTGCATGGTGAATCACGCATTTTTTTCAAAACAGCGATGGGTCTTCCGTAGCAGGGTACCTCCCGTTTAAGCAAAGTAAGATGGTTGCCCCTTGTGTGATCCTCCTTTACAACCATGCCCAAGTATCGTCACGTAGATTCCAACTTGCTCACATTGGAGTATGACCTTCGTTGAATCCTTGTACCAGACTTGTGCCTGCACTGTAAACTTTTGAGACAGCTTGTGCGTGTTTCTTACTCTCAGCAGTCACGTTCTCTTAACTAGGAATCCAGCACATTGCCAAACGCCTGCAAATCGACATAGCCCCCGCAATGGTAGGCTGGACGTTTCACAAGGCCGGCTGGGCTCATCCGGAGTACGATGGCTTTGTGGTGTGCAAGGAGTCCGTCCCGGTTCTTGTTGACGCGTGGCGAGCCGAAAAAATGAACGCGGAAAAAGCCGCGGCCGCAGACAAAGCCGAGCATGCTCTATCAAACTGGCGGCGTGTGACGCGTCACCTGCTCCTGTGGCAACGAGTGGAGGCCAAATTCAAGCTGACGAAGGCCACGGTGACTTCATCGGTAACTGGATCCTACTACTCCCTCTTCCTTACTGGGGCCCTAGGCGCTAAGTTGGGTGAAAATGCCAAAATCCACAGTAGCTACAGCTCACCGTTTGTGAACTAGACACGTGTTTGCTGTTTCCTGTCTTACAGCCTCATTTACAGCTCTTGAACTCCACTGAGCGTTTGCTTGCTGTTATTTAGGGCAGTATCCCTCGCACTAAACCATCCACCAGTAAGCTAAAGAAGAGCCTTCCACCGGAGGCAGCAGCAACAGGAGGCAAGACAGAATGCGACGACAGTGGGTGGCAGCCACTGGCCTCCGCGATGCCCGTTTTCCCTCGACTGCTTGAGGTCGCAGACCTGGCGAGCACCAAGAAACGTCCTTTAAAGCGACAACGGGCGCAGCCAGGTAAAAGGAGGAGGAGAGAGCCACGAAAGAGGTCACCTTCGACGTCGGAGGAAGAAGAGGAGGAACTTACGGACAGTGGAGACTAAATATAATGCTCCAACCCCTCCACGCTCAGGTTCCAAATATTGGTAAGATTTCCCTCCCTGCGGTGTCTCCATCTTTAAGCTCACCTTCAAAGTTAGGGGCTTCTGTGTTTACTTGCTTGGCTAGCTTGACACACTGAACTAGTCGTGGGCCCGTGTGAGTCGTTCACAAATCAAGCGACTCACAGTCCACTAACAATTTCCTAGGTCATTTAACGACCCTGTCGTGTTGCGCGCCTCCAAATGTCTATCCCACCGGATCTCCAGTCCCAGGTGGTGTTGGCGTTTAATGGAAAACACATTTTACACTGTTCTGGCGTCGTAGGTCGCGTGTGATTGATGATAAACACCACCATATTGGCACACTGATGTTTCATCCAGCGTCCGAACCAAGTGTATTTATTCAAATCCTAGCTACTTATTGTAAAAGGCATGGCAAGTCGAAACGATTGCCACATTTTTTTTTCCTTTCAGCATTTTCCACAGAATCCCACTTCTCTACTGAGTTGACAATCGTTGTATTGATCCTTCTGAACATCTTTGCTCGATTTTATATTACACCGCCATAGATTCATTATACTATTGCCTTCTGTACCAGTTCTAAATAAAAAACTTGACATTTTCAGTGACTTTTTTGTTGTTGCGTGGTTTGCTTGAGTGGTTCGTTATGCAATTAACCAAATTCACTGCTCCTATTGGCTATTTGACAAGGTTTTGGTCGATGCTGGTCGTAATTCCACCGAATCGCGAATTGGCTTTAAACCGTCTGTAATTTCATTGGTTAAAACGCGTGATAGCTCCGCTCAAGGAACCTGTCATCGTCACAAATGTGTGCTTGGACTGTTTATCCAGCAAAAAAACTCGAGCTCACTTCCATCTTAAAGGGTGTAGATGCAAGTGCTTCTTGCAACACCACTCACCAATAACACTTACCCACTTCACGTGTTTCCTGTGAAGTAGCAAATGTGGGTAACGATTTGGGGTTAGAGAATCACAAAGCAAATTTTGACACATCATCCGCAACCATCCCCCCCTTTTGATGCCCGCTTGCACTTCTAGACTGAGAAATGTCGCGGAAAGACTTGACGATAATGCCTGGTGCAGTTGTGTGCAGTGAATGCGTCCTGCAGGGTGACATAACCATTGGAACACGAACCGTTATTCACCCGAAGGCAAGAATCATCGCCGAATCGGGCCCCATTAGGATTGGTGAGTCAAACCTCATCGAGGAACAAGTGGAGATAGTCAATACCATTCCAAATACCATTCTAATTATTGGCGATTTCAATGTCTTCGAGGTGAGTATACAAATGGCTTGTTGCACACTCTTGATTTCACCATCGAGACCTAATATTCTGGCTATATGCTGCTTAAGGTCGGGGCGCGTGTCTATAGTCGCGAGATCGGGAACAGCAACGTGTTCGAATCCAAGTGCTTCGTCGGCCCACAAGTTCGGATCTCAAATGGTTGTGTTGTCGGCGCCATGTGTAGTTTGTCAGCGTCAGAACAACTTCCTGAGAACACAGTCGTGTACGGGGAAAAGGTGGTTACCATTGCTTGTCTTTCTTGACTTGTCGAAAGTCGAGGGTGCTTTTCGTGTTTAAAACCCTTTTTGTAGTGTCTCAGACGCATAGCCACCGAGCGGCCTATCCCACAGGCACTGCAGCTGGACTTTCTGGGGAAAATCCTGCCAAATTACCACCACGTGATGCTCGCAAGCAAACTGTCCACAGGTTCAATGAAGGGGACCCCAACAAAGCGCTGAAGGTGTTGTACAACCGACGGACTATCCCTTGCCCTTTTGACAAACTCCCGGCTGTGGCTACTCTCTATCATGTTCTGCAAACCTCTATTGTGCATAATAAAGGAGACTTTTCTTCTGTGCAATTAACGTAACTCGTTGACTTCTGGGTTGACTGTGATGTCAGTTGTTGAGTACGTGTTACACAATCCTTGCATCCTGACATGGAGGAAAAATGCCATTGTGTGTATTGTGGTTGTCACGTGGTGGCAAGTTCTGATACCCTGTGTCCGACGAATGATTGGTAATCGGAATTTCTTTGGTTCGAGTTATCTGCCTTGTTTAACGAAGTAGTAGCCCTCCCCCTTCAAGTTACATGTACTACGTGTAGGACTTCAAAGAGTGGACTTTAATTGTCTTCCCTTGAATTTACGGGTTGCATATTACGCGCCATTCTCCTCCCAGTAGTACCTATAAATCAAGTTCCACTTTCGCAGGATCAATGGATGGTCAGTACCAGATGCCTGGAGCCGCTGTGCTGCGAAAGCCACCTCTGCAACAACAACAGCAGCAGCAGCCACCACAAATGATGATGCAACCACCAGCTGCGTCGCTGCCTCCGGAGTCGTTCGTCTACGAGGCACCCGAGGGCCAGGTGCCCTCCTCACTGATGGCCACAAGCGCACTTATCGAGCAGACACGCATCGATCCGTCAATCGCTGAGAGCTTAGCCATGGCCAACAACTTCACAGGACCTAGTTCTCAGTCGCGAGGAGCTACCATGCAGGAGACCTTCATTCAGGTTAGACGAAAATAGCGTGTATCCGTGGACAAGAGTGGCGTTTTTTGGTATTATTGGTTCACCATCTTGAGGAAGTTTACTCTGGATCCTTCGCTGCACTCACCATGGACTGATGGGTGGCGGTGGTCGTAGCGGTAGTCTTCAACTGCTCTTTTTGCATTCCAGGGTGTCGTCTCAGTGAACCAAGTGGAGATGCTGACCACACGTCTGCGGGGCCTGTGTCGCGAGTACTCACCCTTCTACGACCACGAAGAGGCCTTTTCTGTTGCCGTGGTGAGTGCACAAACGACGAATCCAATCGCCAGCGCCTCCGGCACCACGCCGTACGTGCAACTGCGCGTACGAAAGAGCCTCCTGCCCAACGCCCGGGATCTCGGAATATGGCCCGTACTGCGCTACCTCGGGGCTGTTGAGAGCGACGATAAGGTACAGCTCAGAGGGAATTGTTACAACGCCCCTCCCCCCGCCCTGTACAATATGCACGTCGTTGTAAATATTGTGTATTTTCGTAGATCTGCCGTCGGAGCTACTTGGAGGCCTGCGTCAATGGGCCACTGGTCGGTTTCCTGAAGAGCTTGGGATTCAAGAAAGACTTTGAATTTCTCGCTGAAGGTGAGGTGTATGTCCGGGGTCGAGCCAAGGTTCTGATTTATGCCGTCTTCGAGGTGGTTTATCCTCCTGGATCAGATATCCATCTGCTGGTAGGTCCCCCCCACTAATTGTTTGTTTGATGGATTACCTTGAGTAAAAGGTGACATTTCTGTCATGCTTCAGGCTCCGTGCAAGGGCAGAAATGTCGCTCCAGCGAGTTTAATGGTCGAAGTGAGCGCCGTTGGAAGTCCAGCGGACGAAACTCTTCAACGAGAGGTGGTCGACCTAATGGAACTCTTGCATCCCCTTGTTGTGCCAGGACGTGTGGACCACGCACGTCTAGCTTGTCGCTAGTCTGCTTCCCTGTGAAAATGTATATTTATACTTTGTACATTAAAACCAGCTAATCACACACCCATGTGCTGCACCACTACCAACTCTGACCTCGTGACTGAGAAAAGGGCGGAGCATCAACTGACGCATCTGTCAAATGACTGATTTCATACTATATTTACTTAAAATGACGCCCACGAACGTCTTAGAGCTGTCATCGCTGTTTACTTGGCACTCTACCTACATGTTTACGGTGTCTCACAGTGCATCAACAGGCGTTGCATAATCATACATCACCTGGGTGCAAGTAAGTTATTCGGGCGATTAGAGGAGAGTGTGAAATGCTCGGGAACCGTTGTAAAACTGCATTCAGCGCCGTGGAACCCCTTAGAAAAGTAATCAGGCTCCGAGCACGGATCCCGGCAAGGTTTGCATGGCAGTTGCTGGCCTAGTAGGCATGAATGTTATTCCTTATCTCGGAAGTAAAACTGGGAGGTTTACTGATGCTTTCCGACGTGACACTGATGCATTCATTCAGGTGATAAGTTTAGACCGATAGGATGGAAAATGCAGGCAGGAAATGTACTAGAAATTAAAAAAATATCAAAACAATAGGTTACAAGAAGAGAGTTAAAAGTTATCAATCCAATTGGGTTGTGTGGGTTTCATCAGAAGCGGTCGAGGAAATTTCGCTCCCGACGTCAAAACGACTGTTACCCTGATGTGGCTACTTAAGTTTCACCCGCGCCTCGGTAACATAAAACCCATCCGGTCCTGTGCTGTTCATGCGGCAGAGACAAATTTCATCGAGAAGGGCGCCTTCCACAAATGAGTAATCACCAAAATCAGTCAGTAGGTCGTCAGCAGGAAAGGGATTTCGGCGAATGCGCCCCTTACCCCGACCCACACTTTTGTCTTGTGCTTCGATTTGAACTCGTGATTTCATGAGGGTCATGTGAAGTTTAACTTCTGATTCCCCCGCCCGTCCGCTTTGAAGGCCATTCCGAGCAAAGAGAGCTGTTGCTCTGTTGGCAATTGCTTGTAGTCGCTCAGAGTCTTCCCCCGGTTTGACCTACCAACAGAGGTAGGATGAAAAGAGACGTTAAATTCATAGCCCTGAGGAAGACATAAATAACAGAAAGAAGATAGCATGTCATCAATTGCAGGTAAAGGTTTGGCACACTACTAGAGAAATAAAGGAAATGTGTCGTCGACCGCTAGCCATAAAACTGTGGACAAACAACTCAAGCTAGGCAAATCAATAGTTATACTGTTTAACACTCTTAGCACAGGACGAATCTAAGTCAAAATAACTCACACATGCATAGAGAACGTGAGTTCGCTTCGGATCATTTTGCATACTTTTTAAACCCCGAACACTGATACGGAGAGGCGAACGGGACAACCCTTCCACATCCTCTGATTCGACGAAATCAGTTAGTAAACGCGAAGCAAGCCGCACCTCTTCAGCGTCGACAAGAAGAAGAGTGGCAAGTGTAAAATGAAGCTTATGGTCGTACCCAAACAAATTCTCGTCGATGCCCACGTACTTCGAGCCGTCACCATTTCGTTCAAGCACTTTCTCCTTGAACGCTAAGTACGCTTGCTTACATGCATCGTCTTTAACAGGTAGACAAACAAAGTGAGAAGGGCGCATTTTAGGCCGCGAGGCAGAAATAAGGGAATTTATTTGATTGATGACGCATTCGAGGGTCTCCTGAGAATCAGCAGAAACTTCCACGCCTTTCTGCCATTTACGATAAGGGAACTTAATTTCGCACCGAAAATTGTCAGTTATATCACTATTGCGAAGAAGTTTGTGGAAAATACGAGGGATGTTACAAACTGATTTCACGCGGTTCATTTCAACAGACACTTTGACAGGTTCTAGAGCATTTCTCTCCACACCCAGGGAAGACGTAGAATTATCACCTTTTTGGTTTGGCAAATCAATTGAGTCCATTCACACTGAGAAACTTCGAGTTACACGTACCCTCGTGCACACCAAAAAATACTTCGGCTTAGGAAGAGGTATTTAAACAATCTCTAAACCCATTTATATTTTATTCGGGTAATATAAAAATCTACAAAATCATTTTACAGTTCTAAATGAAAGACATTTAGAAACGTATAAAACAAAAAGTCATCTCAAACAGTAACTAGGAAATTACCTTTTGATACTGAAATATTCAAAACTATTGTTGTTTTAGATTATTTAGACAACTCCCTTATAGCCCTTCAAGTGCTGGCTTATACAGTTAATTTACATGTGTGATATTGTGGACGAGAACACTTTCTGCTGTGATGGAGTCATCTTGCTGGTCTCTGAACTGCATTTTCCTATATGGAAAATGGTAAAAATCATAACCCTGAGCTAGTCCTGTTCAGTAAGTTAAATTTCGTCTAAATTTTTCACGTATCATTGTGTATGCCAGCGTTTGTGTTGGTTGTATTCACTTTACAACTACTATAAGAAAATGCCTTCGTCTGTACAACAGTTCGTACTTTGTTCTTATTTACCACTTCGCATTGCTTGGTTCAGTATGCTTACTAGGTGTTTGCTGGAATTTTATTTGCTTGGCTTTTAGCTCGATTTTCATTTTGTTGTAGTAGGTAATTATTTGTTTTGTATTGGCAACATTATCTGATATTTATTAGTTTGCGATAGCACACATGAAGCTCCAAATTATTTGCTTAAACGATGTTTTCAAAGTCAGGTTCGTTAATTTTTCGTCGAAGAATTTTTATCATAAGATGAATTATCTAATATTTTACGCAGGTGTTAAACAATCGAATCACTTTGTGAAGAGCACAAAATCGACATGAGGAAATTAGTGGACATGCAGCAAACCATTAGTTTTCCTCAGCAGTAGTATATCCAATACCACCTTTTAGAGAACACTGCCCATTGGTTTGATTATGTTTATCAATTCTTTTATTTTCAATTTCATTCTTTTTAGATAATTACACCTAGTTTAAATATTTGATTGGCTAAGATCCTGGAGGCGTCCAAAATGTTTTGGACCTGCATCAGCACTGGAAATTCATTGCACAAAAGATATTATCACCCATTATTGCGATGAGCTGCACAATGTCTTACTCATATCAATTATTCATTTGCCTTAAAACGAAAAAACATGCAAAATACTATTGTAGAACAGATATTAACAGAGGAAATTTGTCATATTTCGTCAAGTCATGGGTACTAATTCTATCCATTGCCACCCAAAAAATCTGCTTTCATAACAAAATATAATATAATTAACGCTGCTGGCACTTTAAAACTATCCCTTTTTATACACTATGTTAGTAACCGTGGCTAATAAAACTTACCTAAAGAAGTAAGAAGCCTTTGGTGTATAAACCTCAATTGGTAAGCAAGCATTTATTGTGACAATGTGTCCCGATATTTAGCAACATTACCATCGATTGATGATCAGATCACAGAAGGATAGTTACAATATGAAAACTTAGCAGAAATAAAGAGCTAAATGAAATCAACTTCGACTTCTGATAATTTGAACATTTGCGAATAATCCTGAAAATATCTCACGTAGGTGAACTAATGAGCAATTACACTTACCCTGGGGGAGGGGGTGATAAATCTCTTCTTCCTGCAGGCTACCAGAAAATATGTTAAAAATGTAAACTTGCTTTTAGTTTTTAGTCATTGACATGAGGTCAATGATTGCGGTCCATGAAGGTGAAACGTGAGTGGACCTATGATGGGATCGTTAATGGAATTTATGAACGTTTGTTAAGATCACCTTTGAGAACTCATGACAAATGAGGAATAGGCAGATCAACAGCGAGTCCCTGAGCTGAGTGAACTTTCATACAAGTCACGCTTTATCTCTAACGTCACGACAGAATTCATGTATCGATACTCTTGTTGTAGTGCCGTTTTGGGAACCACATGATGTCTGACAATCTACGTTGACAAAGCCCGACCGAAAGTAAAGTAGAAATACAGATGGCGCGAAGCCTAACTGCTTTATTGATGCAATAATGGCTTATGTCTATGCAGATTAAGAAGTTTTTTATATTAGCTATGCTAAGCATTGGTCCTTAAAAGAACAGAGTTACTTCAAGTGATTTCACGTATGCCAATTGAACCGTGTTCGCTCACGTTTGTACACTGCGTTTGCTCACAATTCCTTACTTTGCTCGCCACAGCTCCCTTCTTTGGCCAATGGAATCAACAAACCTTTTCCCTGTAATAAGATTTCTGAAAGGTAGGTCGTAAGAATGGCGTGGACGATTTGGATCCTTAGAAACGAATAAACACGAGGTATTAAGCGAGGCAAACAGTCGTCGCCGGATGGTGAATATAACGTTTGGCGTAATCGTACGCTGTCGGAAATCGTTTGGGAGGATTTTGCCGTGATAGATACAGTTACTTCCAGCGCGATATCTAAAAGGTTGATAGTAAGGCAGGTGGCGCGTGATGCATGAGCTCTGGCGTCATATAGTTGAGGTTTTACGACTTAATTGAGAATCGAGAACCAAGTCTAGAAAATATCATGAAGACTTGTAAAGCAGGCGTCGAATGTCGAGGTAGTTGAATCAAGAGATGAGGCCGAAATTAAAAAAAAGAGTCGAGTGATGAGATTAGGACGATTGATTGTTGCCGGGATGCGTTAGGAATCAATGTTCATTGTTAAGAAGTTAGATAGGGTCTGCAGATTTGGCGTCGTCAGGACAACAGTAGGGTGCCGGAGATTGGGCGTCTGTCAGCGTTGATTGGGCCTAAGACGATATGTTATTGAGTTTGGTAAAGGTTGGAGAACGAAACCAGGCTGTTAAAAGGCTAGCAATAGAGTGAAAGCTAGGTTGAGCGATGGGACAGAAAAAGGATCAAGATTCCGGAGATATAAAAGTATAGCGGTCACAAGTTGAGATTCGAAGAATGATAGAATAGCTTCAAGGATGACTTTTCCGTGGGACATGAGACGCCGCACTAGAAAATCGCCAGTCGCCAGGGTGGCAAGTTCGAAAAACGTTCACGTCGAGAACGCAGACGGGACAACCGAGTTAAAGGGAATTGATGGACCTTTTCTTCCTCCAAAGGATCAGTCAACAGTGTGGTGTGCTTAATTGTGTGTTCGCGGTTTGGGGTAAACGAGATCAAAAAAATAAAAGTCGAGTCTGTCAGTTTTTAAAAGACAAGGCTAGAGCCGGTTGAGATCTGCAGCAAAGCGTGCAAGAGCAAATCGGGAGTCAGGTTGAGCTTACGGAATGGTCGAAAATGTTCTCGATGTGTTGAGTCAGAACGTATCAAAGACCATCTTAGCAAAACGTTGATTTTTAGCCCGTAAAATGCCAAACGAGTTCAATAGCGAGATGATCAATTTGTTGCGGTGCTCTAGTGAGGTTTTGGGGACCACAGTAGGTGGTAAGTAGGTCAACTTGTTTATTGATACTGTAGCGGTGTGTGCTTGTACAGGCTGACACGTGTTTTTATATAGCTTCGTTAAGCATCGGTTCTTGAACGAACAGAGTTACGTGAAGTGTTTTCAGGTAAATCGTTTGAATCCTGTTTGCTCATAATTGTTAACCGTGCTTACTTGGTGCTTGCCGCAATCTTCTGGTGAAGGATTATTGAAAATGTCGAAATTTTAATGACCGATTGGTTGAGATAGGCGTCAATTAAAACTTATCGGTTTTAAAATATTCATTTCAGGTGGTTGATAGCAAGATAAAAAGCAAAAATTGAATAGTCAGGCGTACTGCAACGCTTTGAGGCATCAGTAGACTACTGGGCTATAGGTTCTGAAGCCAATTAGTCGTCCGGCGGTCTTTGATGCAAGTTTGGCCGTCACTAGAAATGAAGAACTGGTCAAGTGAGAATGTGTGTCGTGTAATATTTGGAAAGCAAAGAGGACAGCTTGTGTCCAAATTTATCAATCAGCTTTGAAAGCTTCATGTGCAGTGACCGCAATGTTTAATATTTGGGCATAAATTGTTGATAGTATTTTGATATCCCCAAGGAGAGCATAAAATGACCGAGGAACTTAGACATCAGAAAATGACGGATTTTGTACAATATGATGTCCGAAGGATCTGATTAACACCTTAGATAGTCGTGTGGCAAGAAGTGGCAGAAATTACAGGAGTCGAACACACCGAAATCGCGAACCAACAAAACTATTAAAACGTTAAACAGTGTATTCGAGTTATCCTTACCAATAAATATTACGTCACTAAAGATTCAATAACAAATAAACTGAAAATTGCCTATACTTGCCTGCTGAACTTTATTAATGTACAAAGGACTAAATCTTTGCATAATTTGAACAAGGCCTCAAAATTAATCGTCGGTTAATAGTTTAAAGATACCAAATAAAGTAATCATTACTGGCGTGGACGCATGTAACAGATTTAAATTTTAAAAAATCGATTTTTGGTGCCACTTTCACAAATAATTCATTGGGGATTAATGAGTTTTAATGATATATAATTATTACACGGGCGGCACCCACCAACAGGTTTCATTGAAAGGATGTTACGAAGAGATGACCTAGTGCAAAGTGACAGACAAACCTCCTAGGCTTAGCATGTTAGGGAACTTGCCATAGCATAGACTTTCATAACATTTCTTCTATCATTAGCCTGAATTTGATGTTGTGTGTGGTCGTGGAGGCCTATCATGGCTAATCGGATTTCCCAAAATTAGTTTTAACCACCATAAACCCCTTTGCTTGTGCGTTTTAGAAAAATTAACAACATGACTGTTTACATTTTCATACTAATCGGTAGGCGTGTTTGTCAAAGCATGATTTTTCAATCGGATCTGCTGAGGACGTCATGGCGGGCAGTCATATTGTGCTCTATCAGCTTTTTTGAGTTTACAAAGGGTCTTACAATATTACATGTTGTACATGTACATTTATTTACAATCATATAATTGCTTCGTTGTGAATCTATATTTGAAATGTTGTTTTCCACAAAAGTCTTTCTTTTTGCTGCTGTTTCCAACGATATTTTTGAATTTTTTCGCCATAAAAATAAATGACTAGAGCTGTGCGCAAGACTATTTGGAAGTATTGTTGCAAATAAATATACTAGTGGAGACTTCTTAAACCGATAATTTGTTTTATTTTTTCGTTCGTCCTTAAGACATCACCGGTATATTTAATGTCACTGCCACCCGACTATGGGATAAGCCTTGGTTCGCTATCGCCACCGGCCCTAAATAATGACTTCAAAATCAAAGAAGTTTTTAAAAGTTATTGATGGTCTTCGTGCGTGGAATTTAGCTGCTACTATTTCGGGTAATAGTCATAAAGCCGGAATAGACATAAAGGAAGTTTTGAAAAGTGACCATTTTCACCTTGGCACTGTAAGAAATAACTTTTGTACTAACTGTTTTTAGGTCGCAGAATATGGGTTTCCGTTTCAACCAACATGCATGACGTTTGACCCTGTTCAACGAATCTTAGCCATAGGAACCAGAAGGGGGTGCATTAAGTTGTACGGTTTTGTAATTGATATTTTTGGTATTTTTTTCCAGATTAAGCGTTTGCGTATTAGTTTGTTTTTAATCATTGAACCCACATGCGTTATGAGATTTTAAATACGTAAACACCACTATTTTTAAAGACAGTCAGGTGTACAATGTACTTTTACCTTATTCTTATCCACTTGCGCCTTTACTGTATGATCGCCTTTTAACTGCAGCTGTATGTTGACGGTTACAAATGGTTTGAATTTTAGGATACTTTTACAATGTTGATTCTTTGAAACACGCTAATTTTTTTGGCACGTTCCAGTTTGTCTACATTGTGGGTTATGGGTGGCACACTTAAAGTCGTCAAAGAGGTCCTAACTTGACTTTCTGTCCAAGTATTGCATTATTTTGACGTCCAAAATTATGCAAACCACATTGTTTTCGTAACTGTGATATTCTGGATTTTTACCGACGCCGTTTTTTTAAACATCCTTTTAGGTTTGGAAGACCAGGAGTCGAGTTTCATCTCGAACATCCATCCCCTGCTGAAGTGCTCCAGCTAATATTTCTCGTAAACGAAGTAAGTTTTTTTACTCGCATAACTTTCGATATAACTCTCCATAGCGTATTTATTTAACGTCTGCACATAAAAGCTGTTAGTTTTCCAGTTGCATGGAATTAGGCCTCGATTATTGAAAGAAACAAGTGAATAGTGAAACAAGGAATAGTTTCAAGTTAATGCCTTCTTAAACTTAAAATGCAGCCAAGACTATTATTTCGAGTGTCGCAAACTTTTGGCTCAAAATAAACTAGTAAATTTAAATCTGGCATTAAAATGCATACCCATTATCATGTTTATTTGGTCAGCCTTTATTCCATCATATTTCCAATTGAAATATTTTGGCTAATTGTTTGAGAGGTCATGTTTATTATTATTATTATTATTATTATTCTAGGGTGGTCTGATTTCAATATGTAAAGACGATGTCGTTCACCTGTGGAATATTCGCCAAAAACCCCCCGACATTGTTCATTCGCTGCAGTTTAAACGCGAGACGTAAGTAGACTTAAGAATTTTATCCTTTTTTCAGCCATTTTTTCTGCAAAACATCATTGTCATTTTGGTTTCAGTGACAATGTTTTCAGATGCAGGTGTAATAGTGCTTGTTTCTAGTAATGTTAGAAAGAGGCTTTGAATTTATTAATGATCTAAATGACCGCAATTTATGGTTTGCATAAAATGGCTCTTAGTCTCATTAATATAATTTTCTGTCTTACGGCAGCCACCGCATATGCATATTTTGTTAAAACTTTTATCCTTGTCGTCGTTCAAAGATCATTTTGTTACACAGACAACAGAGAAACACCAAAAATATATGTTTTCCAATCTGCCTAGTTTATTTTGACTAAACTAGTTTGAGGGGTAGTAAAAGTGATTATGCATTTACGCGTTAGGGGTTTTTTGGGTTCATTAATAAAACATATCCTGCTTTGAGGAGTTGCAACAATTTCGTCGACGTTTTACACGATGTATTGCTCTCTGAATGGCAGTTCTTTTTCTTTGGCAAATGAAACAGGAAGACCCATACATTTGCCTTATCTTCCCCATCTGCTGTCTTTTACAGACAAATGCCTACTCACGTTACCGTTTAAATGATATTAAACACGCCGTTATGTAGTATCGTATGACCTCATTAGGCAAAAGTTCACTAAACGTTCTCAGATAGACCCCGAAAAAATTTCAGGGGCTTCTGGCTGAATCGGTTACTAGAAGTTAACCAAGGCATGTAGCTAGTTTTGCTACCCCATGGTGCTAAATTACCATAATCAAAACAGGTATTTTAGTATTTTGCATCGGTTCCGCAATGGTAGTGGCAATGTCTTTCTCCGTGTTAGACCAAAAAACGCTTCGCGCTACATCTCAGTGGCATGCCAAACGAGATCTGTGAGATGCGTTTCACTGCCAGCTGACGTGCTGGTCTAGTGATGACACGACACAGGAGATATTTCTGTCAGATATGAGTCACGCTGTGTAGGTACTCAAATAGAAACAAGAGATTCGTGCAAGAAGACGATTTCCGGATTTGTGCAAACTATCCTCCTCCATAGTACTGAGATTCCAGTAATCTTCCTATTTTAAAGTTAAGCGTATTAGTCTAAAGTCATTGGCATAAGAAAACGCTACCAAAAAGGACAATTTCCTACAAAACTACCTTTTCTTGTCCTTTTTGGCAGTAGTTTAAGTTCCATTTTCCCGGGTAGCTTTATTCAGGACGCCATGTCCTTTTAGTTGAGGTTCTGTATACACTGATTAACAGCTAATTAATTCCCCATTGTCTTTCAAAATCAGCTAATTCATTGTCTGAAAGCAAACTGGGACCCTGCCGGATTTGTGTTACCCCAAAAATCACAGTTTTAACAGTGTGGAGGATGTGGGACAGGTCGTTTGGTAGAGTACCCACCTAAACCTCCCTAAGACATCTCTGTGGTCAGGGGATCAATCGAGAGAACCCTCTTGAGAGTTCATCGGTCTCAGGCATCGTGAACTAGCATTCCGTCACGAAGTTTCTTTTTGAACCGTTTTTGTGGCATTTTCGATAGCAAACCCCTTTCCTCTCATTCATACACTTCTAAGGCGTCGTCTTTCCTGAAAAGTATAATGCGACGTCACGTGTCTTTTGTTTGCTCATTTCCTTTAACCTGTTGCAGTACACCTCTCGCTTAATGTCTGCGTGTTTGAATAGAGTCACGCCTGCCATCTCACCTGTGACTACTCTGGATTGTGAACTTATAAAGTATTGTTTTAGCGGACGCTTAACATCAGTTGGCGTTCAAAAATAGCCAATATTTGAATGTAAACGTAAAGGCAGTGTTGCGAAGACCACGCGAAAACCAATAACCCCGCAATCAACGCTACTGCCACGACGCGAAAATCGGTTATTTTGTCTTGAAGACGCCCCAGCTCTATAAAATGCTGCTTGCCTTTTTCCCAACACCGATACCACATCCCATCTTGAAGTCACTGTTAACCTAGGTAGCAATGATGTTATCACTGCCGCCAACACGTTATCTTGGGGATGGTGATGAGTCGTTGACAGACAATGCAACAAACCTTTGTAGTGCTATCCGTTCCCCTATTTTCATATTTTTGCGCTAATTCTCACTGACCACGAAGTGCAGAGTCACATGGCGCTTGTCTCGTGTGAAATTACGCCTTTTCTCAACTCTCCTTTGACCTGTTGTCCCCTACACCAAATTTCCAGGCTCGTAGTGGCAGATAATCGAGGATTGCAGAACGTTTAAACCGACATGGTGCAGCGTATTCCAAAAATCAAGTCGTTTGAACACTGGCAACGGCATAAACTATCAAGCTCCTCCTAGGAGTTAATGTATTGCTTAGTGTGGTTTGAGCGATTTGAGAAGTCTAGCTGTCTGTGCACGGTTATCTCATCATTGTAAGCAACCACGAAGCACTGTTTATTTGTTCATTTTCTGAAAATTTTGTTGTGCTCTACGATCATGGCTGCGTCATCATTCGCTGAGATTTCCCTTGTGATTCCCTTGGGCACTCCTCTCAATCCTACTCACGCTTTGTCTAAAAAAATGGATGTTTGTCGTCTTACACATGAATTGCATTTTTTAAAAATAAAGACTTTAACACAGGTGCCACATTAAATTTAAAGTGTTGGCTTAACTTCTAGCCAGATCGGTAGAATGTGTTTTTGAAAGAATCCTAAAAGCTTGAACAAAATCACTTTTTTTTCGGAATCCATCTTGAAAAGTCAGAAGCATAATTTTTTTCCCCTGCACGTAACGTCCTTGTCGGGCAGTTTGATTAATTCCAGCAGTCAGAAGCGAGCTTTTTCCACTCAAATGCTACCCGCGCCATCCTGTGCCTGGTTTCGGACAAATCTCACTTCGAGATTTGTCACAGAAGTTCAAACGCCTGAAAGAGCTTTATTTCCACTTTTCTTCCACTTACAATCGCAAATAATTCTATCTCTGCTCCCCCAAATGCAATTCCGTTTTTCTGTTTGCTCTGAATTATGAGCAAACAAGACGGAAACATTTTCTGCTCACGTCTCTTTCTGCGCTAGTTTCCGGTGTGTCGTAGACGCGCTTTTGATGTCCATTGTGATGTAGTCTCTCTTCCTATATCTTTCTTGCACACAATCGCCATATGGCACAGCAATAATGCTTGTGTCAAGTAGAATTAAAGGCATAGGCTAACTCAGGTATATGTCTTTCTGAAACCCTAAGTCGTCACAAGCTGCTTGTAAATGAATGTCCTGCAATACATATCAATATGACCGATCACATTTCAACGATCTTTGTCGTTGCTAGTTTCATACTTGGTTGCCTGTCTATTCACACCCTCCCGGGCATTCGTTGATTTTGCACGTGTCGTATTCTGATTGGTGTTCTCGTAAGCAAAAACTCGTTGATTGGTTTAACCCCTAACCGGGACTTGGACTCGGTTTGTGCGGTCTTTCATGGGTGACGAACCTGGTCATGACGGTAAGCAACCAAATTTGAGATTCAACAATTCATGGTACTCCAAAAGTACCTTTACCGGAGGTTCTCATTGGACGTCAATAGACGTCTTAAATGTTCCAAGTCAAAGCCAACCCTTCTGATCTGAATTTTTAACGTGCGTTTTCCTGAAAGTTTGTTTATGTAAGTTGGGTAAATAACAATGTTGTGTTGCTCAAGTGATCATATGAGACTGCACTTAAATCGGAGGTGCTGCGTATTTTAGTTTCTTGCCATCTCAATACCACAACGGATATGTTTTGCCACGACCAATCCAACACTCTGCAATCTTTTCTGCTACATGACTTTAACTAGTTGAAATTTGTTTCCTCATGAAGAGACTGTGGAATGTGCGTAATTAACTAATCGACACGAAGCGTTCACGAAGTTCTTTGTAACCGTCCTTGATTGTTGAAACGGCAGTAGGATTCGCATCGCTGCTTGTCCTAAGCCCGCGTTCTTCTAAACGCACACACATCGGGCAGCATTTGCTCCCGCTTTTTGGAAATGTATTAGTGTTTATTATTTTTTTCATGTCTAGAGCGTTTGTTTGCTTCACCTAGGATAGACAGGGAAAAAACGGACAATCAGTGGAAAGTGAGACTTGCTCAGTCCCAAAAAACATCACTCTTCTCCTAATGTACTGGCTTCCGGCTTAGTTTACTATTTTGCAAAGCCTATTCTTTAAGACTTAGAGGGGGAAAGCGGAGTATCGGCGCGGTATTGTTACCACTTCCGCTACCGGGTTTCATCTTTTCGCGACTATGTTGTTTACTTCAGACTTACCTGCGGCTACCTCGCAGTCAGCAGCTCCTGGCTCGGCGTCGGATCGGAGCAGGGCAACGTGCATTTCGTGAACGTGCAGCAGTTCACTACTTCCGGCTACGTGATAAATTGGAACAAAGCCATCAATCTGTACGTCTTTTTTAATAAAATTTCTTTATCAACTCAAAATAATACCCAGGGCAGCGCTGAAACCATCTAGACAATGTCGACCAAGAGTTATTCCGCTGGCAAAGCCATAGAAAAAGACGCGCTTCTCCTTTGTACTGTCCCTGTTTTACCTTCTGCTCCTTTGAGAGCACCAACCATCCACCCATGTCCCAACTGGATAGAATCCATGAAATTGGAATGAATCGCCCGATGACAAAACATTTCTTGCTAGAGAAATGTTATCCTTTTCGTAGATGAAAATTACTTCACGTCGCCATCAACGATCTACGAATAAACTACTCATCCTTCGTTTCCACCATAATTTCGTGCTGTATTAAGTCCTTCCCCACTAAGTCACCAGGTGGCGTGAGTAGTTAAGGCGACGCTTTTAATGACCCTAAGCACTGTTCTCTCTGGGTTAATAAGATGAAGAATGTAGCAAACACTGACATCGATTGCCTAACTACTGAAACCCCGTGGATAAACCTTTTGATTCTATTGATCCCTCGCATTCACCTTTTCTTGGTATTGGGTGAAATTGTTCTACATCCTAGCTAGTTTCCTGTGACTTTGTAGGTTCGACCTCAGACACACCACCTGTACATTTTTAACATGGATATTGGTAATCAATTATTGCGAACTTGATGAATCGTCAATACAAGCACAATCTATGATCACCCGTGCATTAAAGCGTGACGATGGGGGATTTAAGCATCAAAATTAAGGGAGGGTTCAAGGTGTTTGTTCCTCTAACATGTCAAAAGAGCTCCGTGAAGTGAATGAGGCAGCTTGCCTTTGCATAATCTGTGCTTCAGATGAGGAGTTAGTCATGCCAGAGCGTTTTCACCGACCAACGTGATTGGAGAGCTAAGCTGATTGGACTTTAGGATGAGTTGACTGGATATGAAAATTAACTACCTGTGAGTAATCGTAATATCATGCTTAAAACACACAAATTCTTCAGAGAGATTGACTCACGGTTGCATTCATTAAACGAAGCACTCACCATTCCCAACAATGTCATTTTCATCTCTTTAGTAATTAGCGCATTTCGTGACAAATCGTTTTTTTGTTTCAACATTGAAGTGACTTCTAATTGTTGCCCAAAATATTAACTCCAAATCATAACCTAGTTGAGGAAAGTTAATAAAGGTATGCAGAAAAACGGCACTATTGCAATTTTGTAGACCAGTTTAATTTTCGAAAATACGAATCCATAAGCACAAGCTATTAGGAACTATTAATGAACTCCCTCATAGTGCGATCTTCGATTTGCTAATTGCACAAACCTAAGGCGTCGTAAAACTCCGATTAACTGGATTTTTAATTGCTAAGGCAGTAACTATGCCACGTCTACACATGTTGAATTAAACTGCCCTGTGTAATCGACGACATTCCCTCAACCGTGCAGCCTCGCTTCTCATGTTCCATTCACGCAATTGCAAACTTTCGATTCTCGAGAGCACTGCTCGATCGATCGGTATCGGTTGAGTTCAAAATCAACTCAACCCTAACCTGAATCGCACCACTTAGAGTGCCGATTTCCCCTTAAATTCGTTCACTCTGTTTGATGTCATGCACGCAATTTAGGAGCCAAAACTTTATTGCCTACCGTGGCGTGACTTGTTACATTTTTTCTTGAACTTCCACGCATTTCGTAATGTGTCCACTCAAATACCTAATCACCTACCTCCCCCGTGGGAGAAGGACCTATCCCCCTCTCTACTCCGTGTGTCCAATTTATGGGTTTGACCTTCAGAAATTTAGATTATTACTTTTAATTATCCCCCGCCCGTTTCAATGCAACCAATAACTAATGATCAGTTTGGTGTGCAGTAAGATCTTGCACCTCGGATACATGTATATATATGTGCTAGTTTTTGACCTCTTCGTTTGTCACTCAAATTCAAGATGGAATCGAACATGTGATCAAAACGAGTCCAGTGTTAGCTATTAGCCTGACAGTGGAGAGTAGGCAAGAAGTGCGTGCGGTTTGTGAATAGACGCAATCTATGACCTCACAAACAGTCACATGCCGACAGAACCAAAATAACAGGTGTCTTCTGAACGTTTGCTGTGGGAATAGTGCCATTTAAACGCACTACTTGTGTTACATACTGTACCAGTAGGTTGATGGCCCATTCCAGAGTAAAAGCTCACTTGATCCACACAATCTACCTGTTCTATTGTCGCTCGAATGTCACGGAACTCTGGTAGGCAGTCAGTCAGTTTTCGTTTGAGAGGCTGAAGGCGAGCCAATCTCCTTTTAGTTCTCAATCCCAGCGGCCAGGTTCTGTGGTCCAAATGGCCGAGCATCCACAGGACTCGAATAAGCTCCTGGTAGGCTATTCATCTGGGCTTCTGCTGGTCTGGGACCTGCGAGGGAAGACTGCCGAGGCAAGGTTTCAGTACCACGAGGTAAGCAAATACGCAGTTCTTGGTTCTTCTCCAACCTAATCGAGCTTCGCTGACTTTCATTCCCAACCTTCGGCTTCAGTAAAGGGCATTTTCTTCACTCTTGCGTACTAGGAGTCAAGGTTTTATCGTTACGAAAGGGAACAATGAGGGTAGCGCCAACATTTGCCGAAATAATCTCGGTTTCCAGACCTTGATTATCCAAATCAGCCGTCAGAAACCTAGTTTATAACACGGGTTTTGTCCTATTGACCCTGGCGACCCCAGTTTGTTATTTTTTCCAGGGTCACCGGAAGACTCAAATAACTTCAGATATTTTACGGCTTCTGAGTCCTGCTTCGTTCACATCTTGCATTAAGTCGCACCGTTTGTTATCGATTTTTGTACCTTGATGATAAAGGGAACATAAACGATTGAATGGGCGAGTGTTAAAGTTCTGGAATCGGAAATACTCTCTTCCGTCCCTTTAACTCTTGCAGTTGGCTCCCTTCTGTGGCAAATACGTGTTTCGTTATCAACTGTACACACATTACAGTTATTTTGCAAATTCGAAACTCGGCAAATTTCGTTTCAACATTTTTTCTGACTGCGTTGTTGTTGCAACTGTAAAACCGATGCTTATTTCAATCATTAAACAGCGGAAGCCAATTTGTACTTACACCATTAAATTTATGGAGAAAGTGTCAATGTATATGGCTATCCAGTTCTCATGTTTCTGTGTTCACTCAAAGATCGGTGCAATGGCAATGCCGTGTACATTAGTCCAAAGTATCGATCTTTCAAATCAGATTCACTTCAACATCTGTTCCTACAATGGTGGAGAATTCTGCGTGAATACCCAAAGACATCCTTTCGACCGAAACGTTATTTTTCGAGAACAGCGGACATGCCCGTTTAGTAGCGCCACGCCAGCTAAGTATGGCTTTACCGCCTTGCCTACTGACACTCTCGTCTCCACAAGCAAGTGACCCTGATCTGCACTTTGGGTGTTCGCGTACGCGAAACCTTCTTTTCAAATTTGCCTTTAAGGCATGCCTAATCACCCGCTTGATGCTTGCTGCTCCTCTATATGCGCGAGTAAGTGCATGAATAGGTAATGAGCTGCATTTGTTAGTGCACTTATAACAGTTTATGAACCATGGAAAATTCACAAGTCAGTATGTGTCTCAACGTATGGGAATTCCTACAATTCTGAATATTAAAATCCTCAACCGTGATATTGCATGCCTGCCATTACATTGCAGCCGAAACCTGCGTTTAGTAATCGTGTATACCACCCGTTTTAGAAGTCACGCAATACACTAGTAAGTTTAAGAGAGCATTTTCCTGCCCTGCGTTAATATCTAATACATTTTTTTCTTAGCTTGCACATGAAACTATACCCATTAGACTAGGATTAGATGTTTTTTTTGGAGATTGTCTCAAGTATTTACTGGGTCGACCAAATGCCATGTTTTTTCCCCCGTCGTATCAACGACACGTCCTAGGAACTATCTGTTAATTCCGCCGGAACCGTTACGCTTAGGCCGACGATCAAATGACTGACAATGAAGTACTCTGCAAAAATCAAAACGAATTGCATTGCCTTCGACAGTTTTGTTGAAAGTGGAAACAAATACACGCTATCGGCTGAAGTTAGTCACTTTTAAAATCACATCCTCTTTTGCTAAAAAAAAATTAGTCCCAAAATTAATGCTGAAAAAAAACTTTTCCTGTTAGCTTGCAATATCCAAGGCAGTTGTCAGTCAGATGGCAGCAGATAGAAAACAAACACTTTTCCCACTTAACAGCCGACGTGTGTGGTTTTACACTTTTCACAAGAATGCTAGCCTTCTACTTGTCAATACATTTACGACACTTCTAGGGGTAGTATCAGAATAGTTGTACACTCAGTGACACCTTCACGGTGTGGTACTTGAGTGTGAGTGAATAATTCATCCGCTTTCGTACCACACGCAGTTACAACCTCCTGTCTGCTCACTGGTTACTTAGCTCGGATGTAGCTACTTATCGCCGTCAGCCTGGCTAGTCTATTGGTCAAGCGTTCGTGCTTGACTTTGAATCGCTTCCGCCGCTCAAAGGTTAATTTTAACGCCTTCAAAATACCGCCGATAGCATTGCTCGTGCAGTTTACATGGAACCAAATGTTGTGATTTAGTTACCTTAAATGTCCTTGATTTGAAAAACTAAGAGCTCACTCCGTAAATTTTAACACCTTGTGGTTTTCGCTCGATCCTGTTCTTTAAAATATCGTCACAGGGGAGCGACAATCACTTCCAAACTGGTTATTTTAAATTTGTCATCTGGCATCCACAGTCACATAGCAGGCTTGACTCTTTAGATCAAGATAAATTGTGACGAGTATCTATTGCTGGATAGAGTTGTTGTCCTATCTTTCTAGGCACATTTATCACCTCCGAAAAGTTCACATGAAAGTGAATAGTTGGACTGAATAATAAGAGGCTTTATAATGAGTGCAACAGGTTCTGGACAAATTTTTGCCAAATCTCAAGTTATTACAAATGTTCTAACCTGAGAGCGCGCTTGTGATGCGACAAAAATCACATCGGAGGTCTAGTTTCTGTCACAATCGCTGCATCGTATCATGCGTACCAATCTTCGGAGCCTAAGTGAGTCCTTCCACGTAGCTTTACACCAAGAAACCACACGATGAAACGTCTTCGTCATCAACAGCCCATCTAATCCATTTTCCTTGCAGTTTCTCACTAAGATGTGCCCACGCTTCATATTGCTTAGAGATGATATGTCAAGTAGCCAGTTTTGAAGCATCTTTAGGGTCAGATTCGAGTCTAATTCCTTGTTGGCTGAATTTAATACTTCAGACGGCATTTCTGGCCCTGAAGTAAAAACCACCTAAAAGGCCAATATTTCTACAAACTCGTCGCATTCTAGCCTTACCACAAAAGTTGCGGCAATTTAAGCGACGAAATAGTGACCATTTTTTTGAGGGACGTCCTGCAGATTAGTGTGCTACGTTTTCGAAGTCTCCGAGTCACTATCAGTGCCTCGAAGAACTTTAGGGATTTGCGTGATCTCTGATTCTCCTCCATGAAATCTACAACTTTCCACCCAAACAGCATGGTTGGATGGCGTTTTGCGTTGCCAGTGCAGGTGTCTCAGTGTGGTCTCTTGAAATCCAATCACAATTAAGCCTCTCACGAATGAAATGGTGTGCCTAAAGCACGCTTTTCAAGCTCCGTCAAAAAATCAACTCTTTGAGAAAAAACAGGTTACCAATGCCACGGCGAAGGGAAGTTGTT